ACTTTCTGCAGAGGGAGAGGGGGAACAAATCATTGGCCTTCTCAAGACCCCTTTCATAAAGTACTCTGTACACAGTATGCCAAAATATTCTCACCCCTACAGCAGCTGCCTTGCTGTCATCTCCCTGGATTATCTTGAAGTCAGACACAGATAGCAGTCACTTAAATTTTGCAATATCCTAATAAATTGTAGGCCTGGTAAGAAGGGGTTGACGTCAGCAAGTTTGGGCTGTAAGTGCACACATGGCAGACCCAAAATTTTTCTGCTAAATACATAAATTTGGCATCCAATCTGATGCAGTTGTAGCATGAGGACAACCTTGTCCTGATTGATGGGCATCACCTGTTTCTAGAACCACTGCTAGAATCTCAAGAGGCCATTTTGTGGAAACATTTACAGCATCTAGATGTTGGCTAGGTGAACTGTGGTTTAAAATGCATTGCAAAGGTGACGATAGTCTATTTCTGAATGCCATCTAAACAAATCTCAGCAAAATGTTGGCTCTTACTTTCTTCGCTGTTACTCCCCTCTCTCAGGAGTCATTTAACCAATCAGGTCATTTGTTTATAATGTCAGAAAAATGGCAGCAAACAGGAATTTTTTCGAAGAAGAAAAAACGTGTCCTCGCAGAAGTTATAAAAAATTATCCTGCAGTTGAGGAGAAAGGTTACAACAATTATATTCTGGGGATGAAAAAGTCCGCATGGGAAATGATACAGAACGAATTTTCTTCATCGTTTCCTTGTCTGCTCACAGCAAGGTCTCATTCTTATTATAAATGTCTCTATCACTGTACAAAAAACTTTTAAAATTTATTTAATGGTAGTTTGATAGACACCCGAATACAGTAGAGACGTGAACTCCGATAAGATCACCGGCTACCCTCTGGAAGCTTCCGGTGGTATAAAATCATAATGTCATCAACAACTGTTGCTCAGTATTTAATGGCAATCCTCTTCGACGCTTAATTTTGTCGTCAATATGATTTAAAATATGAACAAATCCAGATTTAGAAAATCTATACCAAATTTGAAATTTATCTTCGAAATACATTTCTAAAGGATTATTCTGATATCGTATTACTCCCCCCCTCTCTCTCTTCATAATTGTCGAGATGAATAATTTTCTTAATTTATCTCATTTACAAGGTTTATTAAATGAATAATATCAATTATAACATAAACTTTGCAACCAACAAATGAATATTGCGACTTCTACTCAAATAAAATGGTGTCTAAACCTGCTATCAAGGGAGCAATCCAGTTTAAAACCACAGTCACGACACCATAAATTGCTCTTGACTATTTGTTTCTATGGAGCCTTTCACACAATGTGGTCACAGCAAAATGCTGTACACTTTGAGTTTTGTATTACCATAGCCCCTATGCCATACACAGTCAAGATTATCTGTCTATACTCTTTCAGACATCAAGATCTTTTACTGTGTCTAAGCCTTGTAAGGACTGATGAATATGGCAACAAACAACATATGGGCAATCTGCCCAAGGGGTTCCTCTCATGTGGCTAGCCCATTGGGGAGGTGCAAACTTCCAACCAATCAATTAGTGTTTAATAGTTTTATCCATGCATCTGGTATCCATTTATTAAAATGGAGCATTACGAAATGGATGTTGAATTACTAATACATTTATTTCAAGAAAAACCTGTTTTTTGAGATATAAATCTTGAAGTTTAACAGTAAATAGATGGAATAAATTTTTCATTTTAAAATTTTGACAATTTTAGAATTTAAAATAGTCTGCAAATGATTTAATAAGTCATCAAATGTTGATACAGTCGTACAAAATTAAAATTATACAATCATCCGTCTTATATTATTAAATAGAGTAGAAAATGTTCTCATCAAGCTTCTTTCTACATTTATCAACTGATAAATATAGCACTCGATTTTACCTGGTAAACTATTTTACTCCAAACCTTCTTTATAATACCTTCTAAACAATTCTCCAGTAGCTTATTATTTTGACAACAACTAACATTCTCAATTCTTCAGCTGGATCTTGGATTCTTCAGGTTGAACATAAACATTGCATTTTTGAAAAATGTTCCATTAATCAAATACGTCTTCAGGTTAAATTCACTGTGTGATGTAATTGTTATAAAGCAGGGCACAAGATATTAAACCCACGCATTTCAAACTGTTATTTCTTTAATTTTTTTTTCTTTTGCTTAGAAGGTACTACAAAGAAGGTTTGAAGCTATACTTAGACTCCAGTATTATTTTTCATTTATATAATATAGATAGATGGCATGTTTTCTCTGGCCATCACAAGCCACTATTCCAATCAAGTATAAAAACAAACTAATTGAAAATATAAAAAAACGTCATACATGTGATAACCACGATATACATGGTTGGTTGCTGTGTTTGGATAAGGCACTGTCACTAGCCATGGCTTTGAATCAGGTCATGTGGAAGTGGCTGACCAGCTTCTATTCTACAATCACCCTCCACCATTGAAAATTGTCCATACAATACTCATTAGGACATGAATGATATATGATTTCACATGTTGCTAAACTGAATTTTATTGCATCATAACAATTTAAGCCTGGTATCAGAAGTGAGACCAGCATGCCTTTCAACCCATCCATATTTGCATTTTCAATTTTGCACATGTTCATTCATCTTCCAAATTGCTAAGATTTCGTATACACAAAATTTCATCATATTTCCTTGCTTACAATGCAAATATATCCTTTAATTTTGAGCAGCAGTGTAAAATTTAGTTACTTTAACATCTCTAGTATTTCATTATATAACAGTTTATAAATCTAGTATTAAAATTTCTTTGTACTTTACTAGATCCTTTGACAAAAAACTTACCTTAACTATAAGTAACACTAAAAATATTAAATACTAAGGACACTAATTTAATTCTTTAACACAATAAGATGTGACTACAGTATGCAAAATCACAAGCAACACCATGACTAAGAAGTTAGCCAACAACTTATTTTTTAAATTGGGATTATAGTCTCTTCCATAGTAAGTATTAAAATAATAGCTTTTCTGATGACAAATCAAAAATGCCATATATTATTATATGCACATGATAGCATTTAAGTAACACAGATTAATGGCAGTGTCAGTGATCCAAAAGCAGAACAAATTGGAAAATATATAAAGTATTCAAATCTCTTCCTAATCAGTCTGTTAAATAACTAAATTCTTACTGGAAGTATTATATAAATATAAAACAAACACCTTTCTCTATTCCAGCACACTTTTAATGCGTTGAAAAACGTTTTCGATCGTTTTAATCGATCATCCTCAGTTCAAAATTCGAACTCAAACGAACAACTGAGGATGATCGATTAAAACGATCGAAAACGTTTTTCAACGCATTAAAAGTGTGCTGGAATAGAGAAAGGTGTTTGTTTTATATTTAATCAGTCTGTTTCTGTATTTCTAAATTATTTAATGTTTAAATTTCCTTAAAGGTGGCAGCATGATATCTGCGATGACAAAATTTGCACAACAAACTTTTATCCAATTTTCAATTATTCTGTAACCAAATTATTAGCAAATTTTATGATTATTGTGATTAGTTTATACTCAGACACCCAACAGAAGACAAAACAAGAAATTAGATTAGCTAGTATTAGAGAAACCATAAAATCCAGTCATATGTAATTTGTCATTACTGCTAAAGTAACACCTTATTTGAAATGTTAAAAAAAACACTGGCAGTACCACAATCTGAGCACTAATTTGTGGTTAACAAAGTGCTTCAGTAACAATTAATTTTACACAATTATAATTAAAAAGTGCATTACATAAATACAGTGCTTACAAAAGTATCTGATGATGGCAGTTTAGGCACTAGTAGATTTTCGTTAAATAATTGATGTATTTTTTTTAAATCCAGGATACACTTTTTCCTCATTTTTATACTTGTCCAAAACAGAGTTATACTGTAGTCTTACAATTGATAACATCTTACATTTGCTGTCTAAAACAACAATTGGCAGACACCAAAGTATTCCTAGTAGTAGATTATGCACCAATAACAGGTGTGTTGAGCAACATGGACGAAAACATTAATTTACTGGTAACAAGTGTTTACTTTGAAGTCCTTTTTAATATTTAAAATGACTTTTTAATGACACCTTGATGCAGCTTTAAAACAAATATTTATTGTGTATAAAAAAAAGCAGGTGGAAATGGAGCCACCAAACATTATCTATTTCATGGTATATGTATTGTTTTTCTAACTTATTTAAAATTTATAAAGTTTAGTTTTTTTAAAGGAGAGAAACATTTTTAAATAATCTTAAAATTCAATTTTATAATTGACAAAATACAATATTGTCACTCCGTTCAGCAACACTTATTTTGAAAATTACAATCTGATTAATTACGAATCATTTCTGATCCATAATCTCTCTTCAACGGCAAGATCTTTGTCAAATGTCTTGAAGTGCTTTTTGATGTCAATTTCTAGTAACAACCAACAGTTATGGTATATTATTTCAATAATACTGCAATTTGGTACTATATTTTAAGAGAACTTTTATAATGATGTATAAAAGTTCATTATCCTTTATCCTGAATAATTTCATTTTTTATTTCTAAAATATCTAGTTCTCATTTGAACAGCATTGCCAATCACAGAAAATACATTTCCATACTCAATTTTTTAATGTTTGAATAAATTGCTAAGTTGAATTTGCATACCAATCAGATATTTACTTATTAATCTACTCTTTCTGAGCATCTTGGTGACTGAAGTGTCGTGAACTTCTGCATCTCGGTTATCCGAGATGCAGAAAACCTATTGAATGCCTGGCAGGCAATTTACAAATTATTCTTTCTGAGCAACGACCTTTTTAAAACTAAAATGCAATTTCTTATATTTATATAAAAGTCAAACGTTACGAAAAAAAATACACTAAACATTAAGTATTAAATAAATCTTAACTAAAAATTGACACATTACTTCAATAAAAAGGACAATGAAAATCATCATACATACCAATTATTTCTTTTTCTTTTTCACTCTCTTCTGCGTCATTCTTTTGATCTAGAAATAAATTTTAAATATATATGTAAAAACAACAACTCCAAATTTTCTCAAATAATTGATGTATTTTTTAAAATCTAGGATATACTTTTTCCCCATTTTTATACTTGTCCAAATCTGTTATAAATCAGAGCCTGATTTTTACAGTCAAACATATTTAAAAGCCAGATTATTTTCAGGCTAGAATTAAGCTAATTATTAATTAAATTAGATAATTTGGTTTAAAAATGACAGAAGTTTAAATCTTCATCTTATGTTAATATCAATTAAATTTCTAATGATTAATCTTTATGTGAGATGATGATTATTTGCCCATCAAATTCTGCAATTTTTATAGCAGATTTATCAACTAACACACATTTAAGTGTAAATATCAAATAAACTACACCAATATTTATTGCCAAATTAAATTATGTCAAATATACAAACAGTTGGCAAATAAAAAAAAATCACTGCTGTTAACAATTGTATTTTACATAGAAAACAACAATAAAATTTTAAAATATTTTTCTGATTTTTAAAACATGAAATTAATAATTACATTTAAACCAAATCCAATATTTGTCATTAATCAAATAATACTGCCAGAGACTTAGCTATACTGTAATCAGATAAGAACCTGGCTTAAGAAATATTTCAAAAGCAAGCCAAGACTTATTGTCGTCGGTATTTTATACCAAGATAATTACCATAATTAAGCTGACAAGATATATTTATAGAAATATTACAACATAAGTGGCATCAAACAAAATTCTTTCATTGTACAAAATAAAACTTTTTCATACAATAAATTTGTTTAAAGAGGGTTTTTACAACCAGTAAGAGCAAGCAGAAAGAAAAAGTGCATTTGAGATGTTATAAGAGTTCCGGTAAAAAAACGATGCAACTATTATGATCAAAATTTTTGCAAAGTTCACAAACAACAAACTATCACAAAGAACCTGTTATGGTTTTATAAAATGATAAATTATACCTCGACAGCTGGTTATGTACTAGTAAATAACAAAAAAAAAATACCAGCAAATATAATTTTATATAAATATGCTATGACAAATGTTTTCAATACAATTCAATAAATCACAAGAAACACATCTGATAAAAACTAATAAATGTTTAATAATTGAATAATTTGCAATGACACTGATTTGAATACCATGTAATATATATGATATCATATTTGATATCAAACTAAAGTTTATTGGTCCAGTTGACAAGTACACTTCACTACTAAATGCATTAAAAGTTAAATTTTTGAATCACCTGATAACAGGAAAAACAGGGATCCTCTATGGTAATATATATATATAATATTTATTTATTTAACATCTTTGAAGTTGACTCTTCAAAGAAAACACTGAAAGGCAATTTCAATTCACTCAGGGTAAAAGGCATAGTCCATACTCTGTTCTGTGGCCATCCCACAACAGTTTTTGAACGGAAATCACGAGGCTCATGGGAAAGTGGGACAAATGACTCAACAGGCAGGGCAATCACATAAACAACAACATGCACTTATTACACTTTATTGTCATTGGCTGGTTGCTTATTGATCATCCCTTATATATTTTTTAGAACTATACAGGAAGTCATCTTCAGCAACATCAAAAGCCGAATTACAATTGCACACATTTTAATCTTGAGATTAAATGCACTTTAATTTACAAAATTGCCATCTTTGAGATAAACTGCCATCTAAGTTAACCAGCCAATTTTAGATGGCTAAAATTTATTCTGTAAATTAGCAAAGAAACAAGATAGCTGTCAGGCTCCAATTCCAACTTGGATAACATTAAAACAACTTCTTACAGGATTACTAGAACGTATACTTCACACTCAAGAACCTTAAGAGTCCAGTAATGTGTTATTACTGGACTCAAAGTTCTCGAGTGTGAAACTTGGATAACTTTTATTTAGGATATTAAAATAAAGTTTAATATTCTAAATAAAAGTTACCCAAGTTTCACACTCGAGAACCTTGAGTCAGATCAATTCTTGAAATTTACAATTGATATACAATTTTATAAAATCTTACCAATATTAAAATAAACTTTCTTTTAATATTGGTAAAATTTTATAACATTGTATATCAATTGTAAATTTCAAGAATTGATTTTGATTCAAAAAGCTATAGTTTTATGCTAATGGTGAAAATTAAGTGAATCTTATTTTATGTAATATAATCGTCATCTCTCATTAAAGTACAGTGCATATATCAAAATATCACAGAACAAAATATCAAATCCACATGATAGCAAGAAATAAATTCCCACAAATTGTCCTTTTTGGGAAAAATGGTGGATTTCAGAATGAGGTTATGGTGTTGATCTCAATGATAGGAAAACATAATGTATGTAAAAAACTGTCAATCCAGCATGTGTGCCAGTGCAGTGCTGAAACACAACTAGGTAACAAAATGCTTTCATTGAAATTGCAAGCACATTTTTGACATGCTTCAACCTGAGTTTTGGACAAGTTCCTATCGTGAGAAAGAAAAAAAAATAGCCAATAAAAAAAAAGACAGTTTCATTTGCAAAAGCATATGCATAACACAAGAGATGGAGAATTTCATAAGGAATGTAAAAAGCACTCATCAGGAGAAGCTGGTTTTTGCTTGTCAGCAAAATCAGACTCTCTCTTAAAGCTGTCAACAACAGATTGATAAATTATGTGCATCACGTAAGTTATTATTTTAAATTCAGCAGACCCAAGCACAGGCATTAGCTTATAAACTTTTTCTAGAACAGAGTTTGTGCAATAGATTATGCAAATCTGATCAATTTTCTTTCTAGGTGTGAAAATGTTAAAACTCCCAATAACGATGAATGAAAACACTAAGTAACTGGTAATTTTAGGACAAACTTTTGTAATCTTGTAGACATACATTTTTGTTTGTAATTCCAGTTAATAAACATTATAGTTACTGCTTTTCTTTCATATGTGGAACCTACAGTGGCAGTTTATAGCTTTCTCGAAAAATTTACTCTCCTGGACCGCCAGAGTTTTAGAGTGCAACCCTTCAATTATGTAATATTGATGGAACATAAAATTTTTTCTGTATTGAGCTATAGTATCTAAATTTAATCATCTTTTTCCCCATGTGTTTCCTGAAATATATTAATGTTATGATGATGAAATTTCTTGAATGTTGGAGAAATTTTAAGGAGGGAAATCAAAATTTTAAACCTTGCCTACAGACTCTAAAATAAGATACACTAAAAAGCTCAAAAATAGGCTCTCTGTCTAAATATATTGGACAGAATTATTTCAAGTCATGCAGAATTTGAAGTAATATTTATAAGTTCTTACTATATATTTTATTTTAGCACAATAACAGATACCAATTTTATAGTTCAAAATCTCTTAAAGAACCTTAAATCTTCAGTACATTATCACCTTTAGAATGACTAACATTCTCAAACCTTTGACTGGATCTTCATTGAATTGAAAATGTTAGTTATTCTAAAGACAATGTACTGGAGATTTATTTAAGAAGGTTCTTTAAGAGGTTTTGAACTATACAGGTAACCCCCGTATAACACGGCACTTCTATAGCACGGATTCGCTCTAACACGGTTTGAGAATTGGTACCATCCCCCCGTATAACACAGTACTTTTATAGCACGGATCCACTCTGACACGGTTCGAGAATTGGGTAAAACCCTCGTACAACAGGAAATGTAATAAATTTTTACATACTTAACTAATAATAGTTCACAAAAATTATTATTTTCGTGAACTATTAGTACTTAAGTATGTAAATTTTCTCTTCTCGCCTTCTGTCGATACATGTGGTCCTTCTTGAAACTTGTTTCAATGTTGCCAGATTGCGACGCTTCTGCTTCTGATGTTGCCGAATGTTTTCCCCTTATTCCATACTTGCTTTATTCTTCATAAGTGCTTAGCACCATATAAGGAAATTTATAAAGACCTTTTAACTAGAAGCAAGCAGTTTAAAATTACATACATTTTGCAAAAGGTAAAGCATGGATCTGAAAGATAATGCAGAAAAATGCTCAGAGGATAAGGATAACTTGCCAAAAAGAAAACGCTCTCGGTTAATTAATAGTGTTTTTAGTGATGACGAAGAAAACATTGTTTAATTTATATTAATATGTATCACTTCAAAATTTTAATGAAGATATTTATCTTACAAGTTAATTATGAAAATATACTAGCATGTTTTTTTAATTTCTAACCCTCCTTTTCGTATTAGTTCTTTGTTTTGTATAACACGGATTCGCATAACACGGCAATTTTTTGGAACGTAACTACCGTGTTATACGGGGGTTACCTGTACTTTAACTCCAGTCTGAGCAATTGTGAGTACATACCAATTTTAATTGAATTTCTAGGATCTTCATAGAAAAATCAGTGATCATTTGATCATAGTTATTTAAGTACAAGAGGAGGAGATGAGACAGAAGAAGACTCAGTCTAATTTTGACATTCAAATCAATGCCAAACATTCTTTGATAATGTTGATACTGAACAAATGTCATTAGATAAGAAATTTGATGTTTTCAAAATATTCTAAATCAGTAGTTTCCATTCTGTGTCTGCAGAATCTCAGGGAGTCTGTGAAAATAGTACTGGGGGTTCTGAGCCAAGTTCAAAATTTCAAGAAATTGCAGGGTAAAATGTATAATTACTCATGATAAAGATGATATTAGTACCTGTGTTAAACATACCAGAAATTACTCACTGACAAAATACTATAGCCATGTGAGATGCATGGTATAGTCAACACTGCTAACTTAGAGCAACTTTGTCATTACTGGATTGAGTCATAAATAAATTCCAATTGAGGATAAGAGTAACTGTCATTCAAACACTTGCCAGATGAAATGTAGCTTCAACTAAAGTTTTATTTATTAGTGCTATTAGTCTCAACCTAAATTTTAAAGCTGAAGTGTCGGGTGTGCAATAAAAATTTATTTTTGAAGCTATTTAAAACGGCACATTTGAGAATGCATATATACCATATTATATTGTAGGAATAT